ATTTATTCTTAACAACCCAAATGGAAAATTCAAACCTCTTTAAAATCGAGAAACGTAAATTACAAAGATACGGGCCAAGATTAGTTAGATGGTATTACGACCTCATATTTTGTAAATAGACTTCTAAAGTGCTACCTACACCTCTATCAATTTGTTTAAAGGCTATATCATTAAAAGTAAAAATATTGTGAAAAGTCTTACATTACAATTGTAGGTTGTTGACTTTGAATTCAATAATTATTACTTCTGTTGAGTTCGATACATAACAATGAATAGGAGACCTGGAAAGCCCCCAAGACTCACAGATTCATTATATAAGACTGTTCACTGACTAACAATAGTACAAATTGATAAATGTTTAACATAACTAGGAATAATACCTCTAAGTCATTCAGCCTGTAACATGGTAAGCCTAATAATATTCTTTAAAAGTTTAAAGAATCTTTGTTGTATTTGGTTCAATCTCATTTTGTTGCCGTACTTGATCAGAAAAGGAATTTGTATTTGACCGGAAAAGGAATTTCCTGTTTCTCCATTCATGCATAGCAGATCATGCCAACTCGTTGAATGAAATTAGAAAATTGATTTTTGACCAAAGCTTATTTTCAATAAAACGTGAGTAGCCACTAAATAAATGACAGAACATCTTAAAGCACTCATCAAATTTCCAAGGATTCTCGTACTGATCTGACATATTAATCAAAGTAATTATAACCCTCGGAAGACCTATGTCAAAGAATAAATGAGATTGTCCGGAAAGTTCTACCCTTCAATCAAATCATATTCTAAAAATCTCATATTCTATGACACTTTGACAGAAAAATCAACTACATAGTAATCCACAAGTCAAAACTTTTCATAATGAATACATGACCAGTTTTTGCTAAGATCTGATTATACTAATCTCCACTATGTCACAATAGGGTTCCAAATTGTGATTTCTTTACTGGAATTATTGAATAAACCCCACTAAGTGACTCTTGTTCAAGGTTGAATGGTAAACATGCTATTTTCTCAAATAAGTATAATTTCTATAGCTTTGGGTTTTATACAATTTCTGTGCAAATCTTTCTAATGGTAAAATCTTGTCTTATTTAACAACACAAAGAATTATATCACATTTGTTCAGTTTTCTCTATTTAAGAAACATTGTTCCAAATTCTTTATTTCTCTTGCAAAATAAAGGACTTTAGAGATACTTTGGTAACTGGTCTAAAATTGATAGTACAGACTGAACAGTGTTCAAAATGTTCACTTTAATAACAACCATCCCATATATTAACATAAATTCCATATAATCATTTTTGGATTTTGTTTTTGTATATGTTTTACAAAGCTCAAAGGGCAACATTAGGCAATAAAATTACTGAAGAGTGCCCTTAAGTACCAAAAAAACACTTTGAGTATAATTTAATGACAGTATTACATATTGCTCAATTACTATTTACCAGAAGTACTATTTACCAGAAGGGATTTATTTGAAGAATAATACATTTCCAGGAACCACAAAGGAGCTTAAGAACCCCACAATGGTTTAAATGATAAATAAAAAACATTTTCAAATTATAACCCATAAATACTTATATTCTGAATATGTTGGCTCTATATTATAAAAATAATTGTACATGTTCAAAATATTTTCAAAGTAAATCTTTTTGTCACAGGAAACTCTTAATACTATCTGAACCTGGGAATTGTAATGACATCACTAAATTATGGCCAGCGGTAATACATGAAACATATCTGCAATCTGGATACATTCAACAATCAAACCTTGTCCCAAAATAACGAAAATACTAACAAAACCAATTATTGATAAAATCCATCCAAAGGATTTATACTCTGATAAATTAGCTTAAGATTGCCAAACTTGAAGTCTGACACTGTTTCATAATTTCCAAAATTGGTCAAGCTAATTTTTCAAACGTCAAAGATTTTCTACTTGAAAAAAGATTGGACAAATGCATCTTTGCTGAATATCAAACTGAACAAGATTATATTTACTTTTGGATATATCTCAAATGGTTTAAACTCTTATTCAACGTAAGATCTAGAGATGATTCTATACATTTAAATAGCTTTAAATCTGAAAAGAGTCAATTTGGGTATTTTCATTACAAATCGCTTCTACTCGACTAAGTTGTATTGATACCGCTCCACAGAATAAACATGGCATTGTTATACAGCATATACTCCAACCAGCCCAACAGAATAATCTCATAAAAATGTGGACTGTTTTCATGCTTTAAAATGTATAATAGATTGAAAAAAGGAATTAGCAAGGAATAAAAGACTTGGCCATGAAGTCAAAATGTTGATTTATAGCTAAATACAGGAAATCAGAAGCTAATTTTTTTAGAGAAAAATAGCTTTGAATAAACGTGACTTGGTATTAGGAGCTAATAGGACATGTAGTATATAAATACATGATATATGATGAAAATAGAACATATATGCCATATATATATATCACTTTTCGCCCCCTATGTCAGATACTAGGTAATTTTAGATCTGAAAATATAAAGTCTAAGTTCATAGAGGCAATGTGTCGAACATGTCTTTTAAATGTCATGCCCGACATATCCATTTCCGGAGTATTTATTTGTTTCTGATAGTCTAACAATGCTGAAAATTGGTCGATGATACTCTAATAATTTTCCCCACCCTTTAACACTACCCAATTCAATAAATGCCAAGATAGATTTAATATCCATAACAAACAATTATCTTTCCTATTGATGTTCAAGATTGAATATCAAGGATATCTGAAAAAGTATGGGTAAATTCCATATTCAAATGTACTCTATATTTGACACATTTTTCAGATAATGAGTACCCATCTCATCCTATGTTTACTTCACTAAAGCAACTGAAGTGAAAGGATAAAGACATATGCATACTCAAAAATACTTTTTTTTATTAAAGTAGTGTTTAAAAACATAAAAGAGCACATCTGACTAGTCAATTTAAGGTTTATAAACAACCAACGGGTATGGCGAAACACTTATGCAAATAGGTCTAACATGTGCTCATTATAGCTGGCCAAATGAACATAGTTCCATCACTTTGATGTTTGCAAAGTATATACAGTCTGGGCATGTGAAGAGTACTCCTACACCTGGGTTTAACTGGAGGCTCTCAGCAGCATACAGGGTGACCCAAAAGAGAAACATTTAATAACCTTTATCGCGGTCACCCTGTATGTGTACTTATGAGAAAAATAGGTGGCAATTTAAAATGCAAAATAATGTTAGAATTGCATGGATTAAAGATATGGCATAGCCTATGTAAATGTAACTATATGAAAACAGATATCAAATAGCAATACAATAATGGACTCCATATATCATTTGCCAATTGAAATGTGAAGTGTACATAATCATGAGATATACCTCTAATATCTGATTTTGTCATATTACATCCTATATCCATGAACTTGACATAATGTCAGTTTCATCCTGATCCAAAGACAACAAAATGTCACAACCTGCCATTTGTTACAAATACCGAACACCAACTGCAAAACACTAACCGCTGAACCTCATACACAAATATCACCACTTCTGATGATGACATAAAAACAGTTTTGTGATAACATATGATCATGATCATGATTCATTGTGGGTTAAACCATTAATAGTGTATGAATATTGTTGCTTTTATTTATCAGTGTGGATGACTCAAAACACCAATTAACACAAGCTGTAATATTTTGAAAATACATGTATGCACATTCTCAGCTAGTCTTGCTTAAAAGACCCTGTACTCCCCCTCCCCCCTTTATCCTTCTCTCTAGGTATATTGCCAGGTAAAGAGAGTGAAGGTGACAGGGGGGGGGTGGATACAGTATTTGAGCAAGACTAATTCTCAGCATGAGGAGTGTTGAGGTAGGTTCAACTCATGAGAACAATACACACGTTTCAAGACAAGATAAGGATGTGTAATAAGAAACAAAGCAATTGTACACAATTACCAATATTTCTCCAGTTATACTTGCTGATACAACTGTCAATTCCCAGATATATTATATCATCGCTTTAATTATTTTAACATTATTCCAGATTTTGAGATGAAATGTATCACTATGGAGACACGGCAAATGAAGCATGCCATACCCTTATATAGTTAGGAGTCCTGACATTGGTTTAAAAAATGGTTTATCTATACTTAATACTTGATAAGACACGACATGGATCAAATATTCAATAGTGTTAGGTACATCATAGACTGACATGCTAGGTGATGATTTTGTATAACAAAATTCCTGGAAATATGTCCAGACAAGTTTTTCATTATAATTAACCGCAACCAGGCAAAACATTGTTCAGACATGTTTGAATCAATGATTTGTCCAGACATGTTTTCTCCTAAAATGGTGAAGTATTTATCCACCTGAAAACATGCCCAGACAACATTTAAATGCCTGAGGCTATCTTTGGTGATACTTCAGGCACTAATCTTGTTGAATACATTTAAGTGAAGATTTGTTCCCATAAGTATGACAGTATGTCAGTCTAAGGGCTACAATCCTTCAACATTCTTCCAAAATAATTAGCTAGTTAAATGAAGTCCACCATGTTTTTTACTCATGTTTTAGAAGATCTAGTTTTTAACGCATGGTTTACCCCCAAGGTTACAGTTAAATCAAACAAAGATATGGCGAAAGAAATCTTCCGCGTTCAGAGAGATTAACAGATATCATAAACCAATAATACATAAAGGGCCTCTGATGCAAATATCATCTGGCAGTGGGATGCCCTGCCCCTTTGGTATTAATAATCAACCATTATCAAGTCATCATATCTCATTTTACTTGACATTTAAAGGAGTGTCTCATTTTTGGATCAGATGGTGACTTTTTAGTATTTCTGTGTAATCAGTTAAAATTTCACTTTCTCTCGTGCAAGAAAAGTTAATTTTCATGATATTTCATTGAAACATTGCACCTGAAATATGTTGCATCACAATTCACATATATATACATCATATGAAATACTGACCTCTTTCATTTTATGGAAATCTAAAGCAGGCCGGTCTTCACCTCTCCTCCGCTTTAGGCCACCTTTGCGGTCATTAAGTACACTAGGCTGTGACCTACATCTAGGAATTCTTTGACGTCGTGGCGATGATGGTGTGCTGCCATGGCAACCAGGCATGGTAGGCATGGATGTTGAATTGTCTTGTGATTGCGATGAGATTGGATCCTCCAATGAAAGACTACGCGACTTCAATGCGTCATATTTTGGATCTTTGTTTGGACTGTTGTCAAACCATGGGGCCGACAGGGAACTAAATGAACTTTCATAAAAGCCACTAGACGCTGATGCTGGGCGAGGAATCGGAGACTCTGGAGGTGTCATCCACAGCCCACTAGGTGGCACTACTCCTGTTATGTGTGGCCCAATGCTACTATTGCTACCCGAATGATGGCCAAGAGGAGAATTACAGTTTTTCACCAAGCGATTGTTATTTAAATGCGACCTAATGGCCACCGGGCGAAACATATGAGATCCATGTGGAGTCGGCCAATTTACACTTCCATCACCGGGAATAGACAATGAACGGCAATGACGTTTCTTAGGGGGAGCAGGCGGCGTATTGGCCACAGGGTCGCATACCGTACATTTATCTTTATACTGACAATGGGGACAGAATGGAGGTGTCTCTAGTGTTAAGTGTGTGCCCTGCGCCGACTCTAGAGGTGTAGAGGAGTCTGCAGGACTGGTCAGACCCAATGTTGGTGAGCCACTTATAGATTTATGTTCTACAGTTGCCGTAAAGTTAACTGTCTTGGGACAGAGCAGCTGTACCGGGGCATCTGTTGCCTGGATACCGTCTGACCTTGGCATTTTGTGAACTAAATCAGACCCTTGCGGCTTGTGTATACCATATGGGCCTGCCATGGGCGTGTGTGCTATATTTTGTCCTGAGGGCTTGCTTATCTCATGGCCTGAAGATTTGAAGGTACCACTAGGCCAGGCCAATGCAAATGGCCGACACCCTGGAATCAAACACAAAACAGTATGAAAATCTGATGTAATATAAGACTTATTTTTTCTCACCAAGTGTTTGAAGCAGATTCTTAAGTGTTTAATGTAGCACATTGCGGTTGTGATATTCAGCACATATGGACATAGCTAAATTTTGAAAACATCAAATAAATTTGATTGTGCAAAGAATAATAAAAATCAATTCTTAATCAATTTAAGGCCATCTAAAAACTATACATTAACAATGATAAAGAGTACTTTAGTCTGACTCCTGACTGATTAAAGTATACAGTTGGTTGATTTGATTAGGACTTTTACAAGGATTACATAAAATAAATTCACATTGTGTTGCCAGACTGACTCGTTACAAGTTCCACATTGCACGATTGATATAATTGATCATTCTGGTTTATACACTTCAATTACTTTAATTATAGAATTTTCATTAAATTTTCTGGATCATTTTTCCCCAAGAATAGCAGGTTTAGCAAGTGTGAAATTACTTCGAAACCCCAGTCATTCAGAAGTCTATAATTATCATTCGCAATATGAAAATTACTAGGCGGTCTGGAGTCTTTCCTGTAAACTGTATTAAATGCATAGAATTGATAAACAATTAGAGAAATGAGAGAAACATGAACAATTTCTAAAAGTACTGTATATCATAAATACTGCATGGGAGAAAACAATACATCTATATTGCAATGTTATTATGAAAGATTATCTTCTTTTATACTATTCAGACAAGATATGGCCAAAATGTGGTCGAAACTTCCGCTATTTGATGTAAATTTTGAATTTGGCACAGGATAATTAAATTTTTTTGACAGGGTTCAATAGCAACAGGGTGCTATAAGGCTGTGGGGGATTACTGCACTTTGTGCACTTCGCTTACCCTAGGAAAGCCTTGTATCATTTACCTTTTCATTAATCTCACTTGTGACAGGTTCTTTGTATTTATTCATGTTACAAAGGCCGTGTCAGCTCATTGTAAGAGGCAATTTGCATAATGCATAAAGATCACTTTTCCAGTAGGATTTTCTAGAGATTTGGATAATATAATGTAGATATATTGAATTTCTAAATAATCAGAAAAATAAAAAAATAAAATTGATTTGCTGTAATATAATATATTGCTGCATTCTTGTGTTAATATACCGGTATGCATCAGTTATTTCTACCATGTTATTGAAAATATATAATTGCATATAATGATATATTATAATGCCCTGGTATATAAATACTCTAAAGCATGAGCCATTTACTTGATTATATTACATATACATGTACTTGAAATACATGTACACATTTTTTCAATATATTGTTTTATAACTGAACTGTTAGAATTAAATAACATCTATGTATAGCATTGAATGTAAAAAATGATAGCATATTTCAGCATAACCTCTTAACCCACGGAGCGGTAGGCAAACTGCGCGCCTACTATGCACGCAGTTTGGAACACTGACAAACTGCGCGCCTATTCACAAAATGGCAGACAGGGAGGACACGACTCCCAAGAGGATGGAAATTACTGGAAATACAAGGTTAATTTTGGCTTTCAAACATTACCAAGATGTGGAGACTAATTTACTTTATACGTAGCACTCGATTTTTTTCCCGATGCATATCTAGTTATCTCAAAATAAGGTTCCCAAGGAGCTTTCGTGTTCAAATTATACAGTGTTGCGTCATATAATGTCTGTTGTTCGTAGTTTGACGTTTATTTAGCCCTTGTGTTTGCACATTCTGAAAGATATAGGATTGATGCACATGGTTTAAGTAATATAGTTTGTGTGTTAAACAGTGACAAGCCATTAACGTGATTCTATTTTTTTTCGCTGTCAAACTGCGTGCATACTTTCACGTGGATTTCACAAACTGCGTGCCTAATATTTACAAACTGCGCGCCTATATTTACAAACTGCGCGCCTAATTTGCAAGCTGTGTGCAAGTTTGTTGTGTATTTTCAGAAAACGTAAACGCCACTAAACCTGTCCCTATATAAAAAGAAACCAAAGTCTGACCCTAACAAAGATGTAGATCTTCAAAAACCATGACACCCCCTTCAGAATTAAACAAGATGTTATTTTCAAACGCACCAATGAAGAAAAGGAAACCAATCAATAAACCAAAGGGGCGATTATTTAAAGGTACCAGTGACTCATTTGAAAAAACATTAAAACATTTTTGCTCGTCATGCATGCATGGTCACTTATTTATGTTAACATGGGTAATAAACAAAGTTTCAAGTCGAAAGAGTGAGATTGTTGTAAATATCTTTTTCTCACTTATGTTGCTAAAACTGTGAATTTTTGTAGCATTTTATAATGAGGAATTCATTGAATTCTAAGAAATGGCTTTTTGGACTGCATCAATCAAAAATATAAATAAAAAATGATTCAATATATATTTACACAATTTTTATGAACGTATTGTATTTATGTTGCACCATGCATCAAATAGTGTTAGTTGGAAATAAAGTAGTAAGGCAAGTTCGGCACTTGAATGGGGACTAGGCGGGGGCCACCTGGGTGTCTTTTAGTAGGACCCCAATAGATCAAAACATGCGATTTTTGAACTCAACTCTATATGATGAAGTCGAATCATTGCATCATACTTTTATAAAAATCATATAGACAAGAAAAAAGTAAAATATAAATATGTACATTTCCACTGGTTGTCAACCATCAACCCAATTTTAGTTTTTGATTTATTTGAACCTTTTCAATCTCTACCTTTTCAACTTACTTACGTACTCCCATGAAATCATATAGGCCTGCATTACTGAGAAGTCATCAATAATATGCACGCAGTTTGGAAGAGTATGCACGCAGTTTGTGATTTCTAGCTAAAATAGGCGCGCAGTTTGTGTTTTGTTACTTCTTTCTGTCATGTTCATCTGTTTTAATACGAAATATTTTGTATTGTACGGGAGAACTGGGTTGAGATTTACCTGTGAATCAAAACCCAAGTGTTTTCTATTTCTGTGAAACGTGCGATATCAACTGATGTATCGGTGATCGAAAAATCGATGTCAATTTTTTGTATTAATCTGCTTATATTTTTAAACCTACGTCCATCTGGACATACATTTCGCTATCACATGGTTGAATCATATAATCGCCACCGAATGGACGTTTGGAACTATAAAACAATTCAGAATAAATGTCTTAAAATGACGTTGGAAAACACAGACTCCAACTTTTATGATGCAATGTTGATAGGCGCGCAGTTTGTCAGTCTTTCAAACTGCGTGCATAGTAGGCAAGCAGTTTGGCTACCGCGCCGTGTAACCTAATGAACTATTTCCATCATACAAAATAGTTGGTTTTGATGAATCACTGAAATCAAATTGATTTTCTTTATTACAGACCATTATGAAAAATAATAGATTGGCACTTGAACTTCAATTCTTTGAAGAGATTTAATTTTCATAAAACATTTAGCAGATTTCAAGATATGTGTTACATGTATTGTACGTGGATGTTGGTTATGTGTAAAAAAATTTGGCAACATATTTTTTTGGGGATATTGATTTTTTTTATAAAATTTGAATCCCCTCTTCTGATTTCCAGGACTGCCCTGAAATTAAATATTTCCTCATCATGAATAACAATGTACTTTTATCAAATAAAAAAATCAATATAAAAACTATAAAATATTCAACATTGCTCTTCTAAATCAAAATTGGTAAAAATGAAAAAATAAATAATTTTATAATTTGGTAACACAAGCACTGTTATATTAGACAACCAGAATTCTTGCTTATCGATCACTGAACTTGTTTACAATAAAGACAGTTAAAAACAGAGGAAGTAATGATTAGGGCGTGAACCACGACGTCATAAATACACACTGAGTTATTGTATAAGCATTGATCTTTTTCGCTTTAGAAATATTAAGAACATTGTCAATACTAAAAATGAATTAACACATTCCAGTGCTTAATGCATTATTTGTTTTAATGGTGTTAAAGCTGAGTATCTAAGTGGATTGAACTTTGTTTTAATTAAACAGGTCTTTCAGAACGCTTTCCATTATGGTGCCTCAATTCTTATTAATTTGTAAACTGTTTGATTTTTTTTGATTAAATTTCAACAAGTGATATACTGAAGTGTAATAATGGATTCGATTGTAGTAATAATTACTTTTTTTTCGCAGCTGGTTGAAAATAAAACCTTGTTGCACTCACTCAAATCCAAAAAGATCGTAAAATAATAAGCTTTTTAGGAGAATACATTGTAAATATTTTACTTATTTGGATCAATGAAATGACAGCTCGCAGTGCGGAAAAGCTATAATGACTTCTCTTTTGTCACTTTGTTTTTTGAATGTGTCGATTGTGTTCACGAGAAATCCAAATAAAATAGTGCTGTTCACTTATTTCAATCCCTCGTTGACTGAGCGATTTGAAAAAATCCGATATATCCAGGGCATGTGGCATTTTGATCTGTCATACTCAATTGCCTTGAAATAAGTAATTTGGGTTTTAATGATACATTGAAAGACTATAGGAGCTCATCATATTTCACTGAACAATCACATCACTTACAAATGTTCAACATATTCTTAGATTATATAGATGAGAAAAGACAATCTATTAAAAAATCTAAACTTAGTGAATGTTAAACTTATATACAGAAATCCTTTTTTTATTTATAAAAATCTTAGATTATATATACTTTTTACTACATTTTCCCTAATAACAATAGAAAGGAAAATCAATTTGTGCCTTTGATAGAGTAGCATTCTTAAGTTACAATTATTGGTCTGTATTATTAGAGACGAGGCAATATTTGACTTCACTCATTTTTCATTTGTTTTTCCGAGGGTGAAGGACCAATTATGAGAAGCATGACAGATGTATGCACATACTGTGACATTAATTATCTGAAATACAGAAGATTCAGAATCCCTTGAAATATTTTGCTTTTTATCTGAAACATTAAAAACCTCTTTAGAAACAATGGAATTCCAACATGTGTGATATGCTATTGTAAAACATGATTGTTTTTCTAACATGTTCTAAATTAATTCAAATTATATTATCAGAAATATGTGAATTAATCAGGAAGAAATTTTGCATCAGAATCATAGTGTGGCATAAGCATTGACCCATAAACAAGGTCAACCAGAACAACGGCAACGCCAAAGCGTAGCGAATCCCATCGAACAGAAATAGCTGGCATTTTTACAAACGAAATATATAGCAAATATCATAAAATAACACACATAAGAAAGTTGTCATCAGAAGAAGTAATATGCTTTTTAATAGTATTCACATGCAAAATTATAAACAAAATCGCTCCACTACTTTTCGAGTTATAGTAAAATACTTTAAAATGGTGGACATTTTTCAAAATGGCTGCCTTCTACCAAAAGTGTCATAAGACAGTGTGCCATGCTAATAGTATTCGAATACCAAATATGAACAAAATCGCTCCACTACTTTTCAAGTTACAGCAAAAATCGTAAAATAACGAGTAAAGGCCGAGTAAAATATGTTTAAATGGCGGCCATTTTTCTAAATTCCATTTTTTGTCATCAGAAGAAGTAATATGCTTTTTTTTATAGTATTCACATGGCAAATATGAACAAAATCGCTCCACTACTTTTTGAGTTAAAGTAAAATATGTTAAAATGGCGACCATTTTTCAAAATGGCGGCAAATTTTCAAAATGGCCTCCTCCTACCAAAAGTGTCTTTAGACAGTGAGCCATGCTTATAGTATTCACATACCAAATATGAACAAAATCGCTCCAATACTTCTTCAGTTACAGCAAGAGTAAAGGCCGCCATTTTTCAAGATGGCTGCCATGTGCTATTTTAATTTCTACATTTCTAACTTTATCAATGTCCTATATAATTTTTTTACATTTAAAACATAATGCTATCACAGTTTTACATATTGCACCTAAATTACTGTAAAATCGGCACTAAAATGGCCGCCATTTTTAAATGAGCGGCCATTTTGAAAATCGGCTTTTTAGCAGAACTTCTACCCCCATAGGGTATATGTGTACAAAATATGAACAAAATCGAGCCAACGGTATTTGAGTTATTGCCCGGACGGACAGACGGACGGACGGACGGACGTACGGACGGACGGAGGCGTTCCCTATATCCCTCCGAACTTTGTTCGATGGGATAACAATGTCTGCTATGGTATTCGGAAAAAACTTGCCCAGAGCTCAATTTTTATTGAGAAATTCTGACGATGCACCCTGATAGGAATCTGTGATATTGAACTTATGAATTAAGCAAGTTTTACAATAAATCAACACATAAGCAGCTGATTATATATTTAAAGGTCACCATACATGTCATGACATCATGTGTTGCTATTTCCATTTTGATATTTGCTTTAGCAATTCAAAAATAACATGGTCACTTCGTGGCTGTCAATAAACCAAGATTTATGTTGAAAAAAAGATCACTGAATGGATCAATACTTTGTTATTTATCAGAACCTCGACAATATCAATCAGGTCAGCTTGACACAGGACATATAAGGTAATTCATTATTGAGTGGTTGTGACAGTGACCTAATTTATACTTACCGAACAATGGTGGACTTGGGTCTTCACTCTGAAACAGATACGTAACATGAAAGTTAATGCCATGGATGGCAATGTCACTCATGAACAATATAATGAACTAATTGAAATATTACTTACATTTTTGAGGGTTGAATATTCCACATATAGTTATTAAATAAATGTGAATTTGTGATGAAGTAATACCATTGTGGTAAATATGCATCTAAATTCTAAAAATTGTAAACCTCTACCCTGCGAAGTCGAACAAATGCAAAGGGTAGTAAACCTCATTCATGAATTTCAGAGTACCCAAAACCTTTATATATGAATTAATTTAGTATACAGTGAAACCTTTCAAGTAAGAATTGGTGCTTTATATGAACAAATCATTATATACAGTAGTTCACTTGGAATTATGTATTTGACACACAATACAACATATTCTGAAGGGATTGTTGGATTGAAACACCGTATGTGCATGTAAGAAATATTTTTCTCAGAGCTTATTGATTGGCCTTGTATGTATAAGACAAATTGCCTTCAAGACTGTAAAAGTTACAGGTATCTTCCAGGTTCTACTGTCATGACTGTAGAAATATCTTCAATAGAAACTGAAGAATCTAAAGTATTGTCCTCAAGATAATAGCAACCATATGTTCCAGTTATCATTAGTTTGTATACAGATAATAATTGGCAGATGATTTCGTTAATTTATAGGTTTTGAGTCTACAGGAGACAATCCATTCTGATTTAACAGACCCTCTCTTAACTATTAGCTGAATGAGGAGTTGCTATGGATACCATAGTTGAGGCAATCATATACAATCAATTATGAAAGTTTGTGTAACATGTTCTTTGTTATGTTTTCCTGAAATAAAACTGGAGATAATATCTTTATGAACACATCATGTTTTGACACTTCCCGCATTAAATTTGATCTGAGTAAGCTAGAATATAAATACAAATCTGACAAGAAATTAATAACGAAATGCATAAAATCATTGAAAAACATTCGTTTATCTCAGGAAGTAATGTCAACTTTTAATTTTTCATATCAATTATTCAAATGATATTACTTAACTATTTGAATCAAACCCTTCCCTTAGTAGGTAAGAGCATGAAGATCAGTGCATTTATACAAAACAATGCACTGGTGCAGTGCATTTATACAAAACAATGCACTCATGTCCAAATATTGACAGTTGTTGCAAAAAGTTCATAATTATAATAGGGAGTGGAAAATGTTTTTTAAATTTCATTTTAATAGGGTGGGGTCTTTCACCATAACAAAATCAACTGTTAACATAGGAGCACCATCCGAAATACTTTGACCAGTTTAGAATGATGACTTCACATGATCAATAGTTTCTAAGTAACAGGCATTTTTATACCATCGAGGGCAAAATGCTAATTATGGTAATTCAACATTAATGACAACAATGTTACCTAATAAAATAGATTTCAGTATGGCTTCTGATATACTATTATTGCTTTAAATAATAAGACTTTAATAAAAACAAGTCAAACATTTCTGATTGTGCATTTTTGCAGGGACAATAATAAAGGATGATTTACATGTAAACACTTTCTGCTGGCAAGAAAATAGAGATTTCTACAATTTACTTTTTTATACCTGATATCTCATAACCCCGGGTAACAGACTTGTTTAGATGTTCATTCAGACATATATCAGACAGAATAGAACATTTATTACAACATGTTGTCATAGCAATGATAAAATAGTAACTTATTTACATGTTATGATAAAAGTGCAAGGAAGTACAGGGGTGAACCTACAAGGGGCTCAAAAAACTGTGCAAAAAAATTAACAATTTATGCCTATTTATTAGGTCTATTTTCTAAAATGGAGCCAGGTCCTCCAATGAAGTAAACTAATATACATTTTGTACTTATTAGTCAATGTACTTCTAAATTCAATGATAAGAACACTAAAGAATCAGGATGTACCTCTTTAACCAGACAAGCTGTCTATTGAAAAAGGCTTATTAAATCTACACTTCGACTGTACTTTACTCTTGTCTTATTATATTACCTATATTACATCAAGTCTGGTCAGGGGAGGGGATTACATTACAAATTGACATGTCAAGTCTAGTCTGAAGGTTGAGGTTATATTTCAAAAGGACATATAAACCAAGGGGGTGAGATTAGGGTTTGTAGAAAAACCGGGTACCAGGTAGTAAATCCTCCATGCTGGGTTCAAACTTGGTACCCGGTCGAAAAAAACGGGTACCCAAAAAACGAAAAGTTTGTACCAAGTTTGAACCCAGCATGGAGGATTTACTACCAGTGAGATTATGATGCTTGGATCTATGCTTGACTTTGCATTCACTTAAGATTGACTTACTGATTTTAGTATACTCTGTGGTCCTTTATTATAGTCACTGTTAGCTGGACACGCATATTCCCGCACTACCCCACACATCTCACAGGTTTGACGAATCTGTCTATTGTAAGTATAACTACACTGGTAGCAGGGCCAATGGCCAAAGTCGTAACCCTGGAAACATAAATTTCAAACCTTGTTATTAATATATTCTCAAAGCACTGGCTAGTATGAAACTGTCTAGTGAACCTGCAATTATGTCACATCATGTTTATAAAGATTGAGATGATAAAAAGTCTCGCAACTAGCCTCTGGTCTCCCTGCACTATAATATAAAGGATGAGGTAGCTAAACAAAGGGGCTTGACCAAAGACTACATTCCCACTAACCAACAATTAAGTTGTTGTTTTATGGCTGTATTCTTAAAAAATATCCCCCTTAATTATGCATGTGTGACAGGTAATGGAAACATTTGACAAGGTTTGAAAATTTGGGTTCTTCATACTTAACAAATCTACCATCTTTCAAGAGTAAAGGTAAACCATCATATAGCTAAATAGACGTTTCTTCAAAAATGCATCCTGGGAGCAGTTACCATATATGCTAACATATGCAAAAGCTATATATATATATACAAGTCGCTCTCTATTTTATCATGCGTTTTCTCAGTTTGCCATCAATGCTTTATCATTTACAACTCCGCTAGTATTTCATCTATTTAATGTCAAGAGTATTTTACTTTGTGAAGTTTGATAATACCCGTGTAAAAGGTCTTATCTATTGTAATTCAAAGATATTTGCCACTAGCAATTATGTTTTATGTTACGGGCCTTTATTCTTCTACATTATCGCCCCTTTACTGAGAGAATAAAATTTTATTTGTGTAATTCCAAACCAATTACAGAAAATAATGCTTCAATTACAAGTATTTTATTTCCAAAGAAAGATTGATTTTTTACAGGGTACGCCTCCATTAATGAACAAACTCTTGTTCCACAAAAGATATTCAGTTGTTGACATTTTGCAATATAATTTCTACATTAAGTCTCAAGTCATTAATCAATGAAGGAAATCAAGATCTTTATAATACAAAAATAACCAATATGTTGATGCATGTAGATGTAATGATCGTTTTTTGCAATATCCAGGTTAAGCCAACCACATATAAAGTAGGGCAAAGTTATGAATAGTTTGACTTATTTCCATAAAAATTTTCAAGGGGAAAGGGAGAATACAAAATGAAAAATTTGATGTGTAGGAAATGGGTGTTATTTCACTTTTATGTTTCATTAGCATTTTAAACCTTTTACTTAAAGGTCCTATAGGGGTCATAACTGTTCTACAATCTAATTACATATTGGCAATATGTTCCAACAGAGATTCTTGGCTTTGTTTAAAGAGCTCAATTGAAGCATGTTAAAACAAGTAGTTATTGTGAAAGTGATGCTCCGAATGGTCAAACAGAGTTCAAGAGACCAGTAATGTCCAAGGTTGCATTTATAATTCATGAAAACAAAGCTGTTTTCCTATACGTAAAACATATCACTGGGCATCCTCATTTTGCCTAATTCTTCACTTACGGAGTTATACAATTTCTCTTGATTTTCTAGTATTTCGGGATGTAGACTTTATGCTTGTTAACTCAATGATTGATAACTCAACTTGTTTTTTCCATATATTTCATTTTTGTAAACATAACTGTCATATATTATACTCAAGGATGGATTATGGGTTTACAGGCTCAATAACATGTGGTATTCTACCCATAGCTCCGTCAACATGGTCAAATATTTGATCAAAACACTAAATCTACATATATACAGCTCGCAAACTCAATAGATTAATAATCAAGCGTGATTATATAAATTCCACGATGGAACTAAAAGTTATGTATTTTACCTCGAGAGAGTGTTCTAGAAATATCTTGTTTCATCGCTGTTCATTCTTAAAATGGTCTTAATGTAGTACAATTTTTTCCAAATGTTATACATGTGTTATTGTAAGGATATTTTTCAAAATATGTTCTTTTTGTAAAAATGGTTTTATTTCAAGATGGATGGTCTCATTAGAAATATTCAGCGGATGCAAAAATAGAATATGTTCAGATATAGATACTAGATGCATAAATATCACAATGTCAAATTGGTTTGTAAAGTACCCAGCATGCACAAAATGTAATCAGATCTTTATACAGTCTGTTTTTACATCTGTAAAAATTGAAGCTCTGGTAAATGAATGGTTTTATTGCTCTAATATTTTTTGGTGATTCCCCAGACATACATCAGCGAAATATGATGACAATATAGCCATGAAATAAAAAACCATGAAAAAGAAGAAGAAAAGAGCTTAAAATGCTTTTTATTTGAAGCTTCTAGCTCAATTTTGAAGAGTTTCATCAATTTTAGCAAAATTCAAAATAAATCCTATTTTTTGGCTTGTTGTGCCCTGACTGAAAACTGAAATTTTATTGGCGATCGCACCCCCCTGACCGAAAACTGACTATGCCCCTGTATAGCATGGATTTCCAGGCATTTCAATATAGAATGTGGTGATGACGTGCTGTATTCTGTGAGGCATCCATCACATTCAGTCTCGTAATGACTCCCAAGACACACTCATTATCGAACATTAAATTACATATATGCATTGGTTATAATATACTCGTACGCACTATGTAGAAATGTAGATGTGTAAATGTCATGTTCTATTCAATATTAAAGATTACTTTTACATTGATCTCCTGTCATTTTATAAAAAAAGTAGGTCTGCCTGACATGTTATAAAGAGAGCAGAAAATATATGAAAATTAGATAATGACAGAATTAATTAATTGTTCACCCATCAGAGCAAAATTTCAATCTATGTTTTCACTAGTCTATTGTTGTTATAGGATAATGCCTTTTTGTTAAAATACGGCATGCAATAATACAGTAATGTGGTAAAAATAAAATGTTCAAATGCTGCATTTGTTTTTTACCGAGTCATCATTACAAACCAATACTATCTTCTGACCTTTTTAAATAATTGTGATGTTTCAGAGTGGCAGTTTTGATTCTTCAATAATCTAAATAATTTAATCTAAAAACCAGTGGGGTATTAAATGTACCCTGCGTGCAGAGTCTAGTTAAACTACACTCTGCCTAGCAGAGACCATATTACAGTTTAGTAGCCCCACCCCCACGACGGGTACTGGCAACAGTTTGGGTAAATCACTTTTGACCTACGGGCTGACCTTCCACCAATCAGCGAGCTTGAAGAAACATACGCCAAATGCGTTCTAATTAAATATGCACATGTCATTGATCAATTCCGGGCTCAACGATGACGTCAGAAAGGGTATATTTAATGGTAGTTTGCATATAGAATGATTGTCACCTATTTAATGGGAGAAAAGTATCCGTTGAAAAAACCAACGCCTGATGGACGCCTGGTCGATCCCATAGGCTCACTGTGTGATCTAATGAAGTCTCGAGAAGGGTCATGTGTTTTTCTAAAAATATGCAACACGTTACAGTTAGTTTTAAAGACAATGCTTGAAACCAATTAAACAAACAATTCTGAATAATTTGCATCGCGTTTCTTAGTACCCTGATAATTAATAAAATATAATTAAACAGAATGTTTCTATCACACATCTAAAGATCAAAGAACATAGTATATGTAAATGGATTTGAAGTAGCGTGTCCCTCTGTAATCATCTTTGATGGTATAGATCGAATATACAATTTCAAAGAGAGGTTCAGAAGAATCCAATCAGCAATTTTAAATGGAATCATTAGATCCACACAAACATTCATTAAATACACACGAACACTGCATGACAGCCCATATACTACATTAAGACACAGATCAAGTCACGTGAAGTAGCCATGGTTAATGGTTATGTCATTATTAACAATTCAAAAGTTTAAATAGAGTCTAATTTTCCTAATTTCTTTAAAAATGTATGTTCACTTTTTCTTATTCAATTCTATACAGTGTATATAACAAATTAAAGCTATTATGATATTTTTTCAGTTAAAGCTTTCGACACGAAGGAATGGAATGTAGGGATCAAGGATAGGTTAGCGATAATTTAACTATTTTTCAGATTATTTCAATAAGTCTATTGTTATTATTCTATACATATGGACAATGTACACAAGCCTTATTAATAAGAATTGCTGATTAGCGTGTATTAATTGGTATTCTTTTTACAGTATGAGGGACCTGCACGGAAAACTCCACTTAAGAAGTCTGCTTTTACTGCGTTAGAATAATTAAATCAAATTGACAAGTTATTGAAAACCTATTGGGATTGCATGGTTCTTTTCTCAAATACATCACATGGAAATAACTCTAATAAAACGAGGGTGTTTCAAGATATATTCAGAGGTTAGGCTAATAATTTGAGGCGATGTTAAAATCAATCAACCGCAATACAACATCTATTGGCAAACCCAGTTCCAAGATTATCTTAGCTCAATGCTAACATAAAATATACAAATAAAGTGCTTAAAGACCATTAAAATGTCTATCTTGTCATTTTTCTCTCAGTATCGACCTTTCCTGGCTCATTTCACTCTTTTTCACTTTTTCTCGATTTTCCATTTTAAAACACAACCTTTATGGAAATTGACATAGTGCGAAATGTTTTTCTGATCTCATATGTGAATATGATAAAGCTAATATTTCACAAAAATCCTGTTTAAGTCTATTTCATTATCAGTCAAATCTAGAATATCTCTCCAAGGATATGTGCTTTGGTCAAGAATTCTTGAGTTTTCAAGATATCTCAGATAGCAGGGTCCCAACTGGAGTTTAATGTAGTTTTATTGCAATTCACAGCACATAATACAGATAACGTACAGTACATACCCCAACTTTCCCCTCAACATGGGGTTACCTCCTTCATGGTCTGAAAACTGATATTGACTCAAAACAGAGTAAACAGTATAGTGTTGAAATAAACCAAAATAAGTAATTTTCCAGTTATCTTGAAGCCAAGACCTTCATAATGTACTCTCTTTTTAAGAAGTGAAATGAAATTAGAAAAGAGTAACTCTCTACAATATCTCATCCTACGAATACAGGAATCCAGATATCATCCTCTGGAGGAAGGTCGAACAGAGTCGATGATGACGATGATGTTATTTCAAACAGAATATATAGAAGGGGGCTGGGTAGGGTGCAGCTGGGAGGGTGGGGCAATTTTAGCAGCTGAGGGTGGGGCAATTTTAGCAGCTAATATGGACCTATTTAGTGACCTTCAAAGTCTGATTCTTTCCCCACATTCAATAAAGAATTTTGTTCCTGAAAGAGTGCTCTCAGAAACTGAAAAATATTTCATTAAAATGTATTCATAATTTATAAGTATGTGAGAGTCTTTTTGCATGGATGCCAATAAACTGATATAGTTGGCGAACAACTGGGCGAACAACTGGGCAAACAACTCAATTCATGTTCTCCACATGTACCCAAACATATATTTTAAGCAGTATAAATTGCTCAATAATTTTGAAGTGTGGCTTTTCAAACTACTTTTATTGATCATATGAATCTGTCCCATCCTACCTATTTGTGAAGTTCTTGGTTATCTCAATTGTTTGGAGTACAAACAACAAACAAAAAATAGCCACGCAGGTCTATATACGTACATACAGTAAATACTGTATATACAGAGTACATGTTTCATCCATACATGTATGAGAAAGAAGGCGAAGAATAATGTTCCAGCGTGTAAATTATTGATAGTACCAAGGTATCTATTAGAACTTACCAATGAACTAATCATCTACACACGCCACCAAGCCACTCATGTAACCCTCATAGCAATATGTCATTACAAGGGAAACATTGGCCAACACAAAAGATGAATCAAACTCCCATTAGCTATAAAATATTGAAAACCTAAACCAAAGTTATGACATCTAACCACAAGACCTGCCTTTACTGGCTATATTTTGCAGGATTTTTATTTTCGCCGACAATGTTATTTCAGCATGGAGAAATCAGACATAACTCAATGTTAAATTATATAATAATTATGGGCCAGTACCAGGAAGCAATACATTCTAATTCTTTAATGGGGGCTCCAAACAAAACAGTTCAAGCAAGAGATGTATTGTTTTTGGCACAATCAACATCCCTGGGATTCTAGTCAAAATGCTAGATAAACACATTTCCATGTTGATTCTGAAAACATATCGTTCCGAGACTCTGGCACAGGTTTACCAAGTGGCTATACAGGCTTCAAGAGTCGCAGTCTCTAGGTTGAGAAGGTCAATTATTCATGGACAACTGCTGGTCAAAAGCACTAGAATTTATTTCTAAATTTATCACAATCATATATCTGGGTTGTTCATTCACGCCATTGTGTGAATACGGAATTGGACTAATTTCCTCAGAAGTAGTCCAACTTATTGAATTCTGTTGCTCACGCTTGGTTTGGTGGGAATATACAATAATGTCTAGTTGTAATGTAATAACTGAATCTGTGAAACTCTGGATATATTGAGATATTGAGCTAAGGAGCTATTTCAAAGGGTGGAACCTTCAACAGATATATGCACCAATGGTTTCATCCAATGCATTTAACCCATTAATGCATTTAACAAGCACTGTTCTTGATTCTGGGTTGTCCCTAAGTTCCTGGTTGAGATTTTGGTCTTAAGTACTCATTTTCTAGATAAGTACAGGTGCCTGAACTATTTTTTGAAAATCTATATCTACTCATTTTTTGACCTGTACTGAAGTTATATTTTAGTGCAAAATCATTGTTACTTGGATTGACATTGTGGGGTTCAGCCCAATATAAGCCATTGTGGGAATTGTTTGAGCAAATATGTATGTACAGACTTGCAGTTTATCTAGACCCTGGATTCTTAAGCAAAAAAATCTCCCAAGAGAGAGACTGAAAGATATTCTGCATCATTTAATCAGATTTGAGACAGCCAGATATTCTTGAAGGAATTGAGGGTGTTCCTGACCTGATAATTCAAGCCGAAGGGGTGAATATATAACACTTTGGAAATCCCTTTTGGTTTTATAGAAAAATCACTGCTCAAAGATTAAGTACTTAATAATATTTCATCACTGGTTACTTACACAATATTAATACGCAAAATCAGTGGAATTCTTAATTCATGATTCCTTTTGGTCAATCAATGAAAAACAACACTGAAAATAAAATAAAATAGGAAAACCTGTTAATGTGGAATGCCTTTGCTTTGGTACGTCAACAGAATGTTTCACTTGGGATGTGATCTACTTACAAAGGTGTTTTACAATTTTTACTGTAAGAAGTAGCAAATATTTTACCAGTTCTGAGTTGCCATCGTCTTGGAGAGTCTGCTTTCTCAATTTTTCTGTGATCAGAGTTACCATGACGACCTTGTCAGATGTTGCTATGGTAACTGGAATCGTGTCCTGGTGAGAAGTGGGGGACTTATCTGCCACCATCAAACCGCAGAGTCATAACGTCAAAAGGTGTGCCTCTACTGTTTCATCATGATTGTCTCTGTCAATATGACCCACTGTTAAAAACTAAAATCTGTTTCTATCCACTTCTGTGACAATTTCATCGGCTGCCATTTTTTCTGTGCTAGTACCTCCTGAAAGTACAATAGAGATATTTCATGAAAACATTAATTAAGTCCCCAGTTGATGTGCTTACTCATTTTACCTTAAAGTGAAAATTACAAAGAATTGTTACCTTTAATGGTCGCCTTGCAAATCTACTCATTATTTCAACAGATATAAGGGAGAATGTTCTCTTTGACTAAGTAGGCAATATACTAGATGCCATGGCGCCAGTAGAAATAAACCTTAATTTCAGATGTAAAATTACATATAAAATGTAATCATAAAATCTTTCATCAACTAGTAATTTGAACCTTGACTACATTTAACCAAAACTCTAGAAATGCCTTTGTTACTTTACATTTTTCAAATTTTGTAATTGATTCAGTTTGGAAAAAACTTATTTTAATTAGTGAACCATAATGTGTTCATAATCATGAGGAAAATCAACAAGACAACCACCACTAATTGCAATTGACTCATGATCATGAAATAACTCGTAATCGGGACCCTCAAAATTATACTGGGTACCATTGGTTCAAAGCCCATGGTACAAATTGACGAGACCCTGCATCATTGAATCAGGAATTCATTCTTTTGAATAAATATTTTTGGCATTAATAAATCATTAATAAATTCAGGTTCATTTTTAATGTGTTAGACAATTAACAACACTTATATCATCTTTTACAATAACTAGAAAACACAGGGCATTTATTATTCTTTTAATGACACAGACATACTCATCAGCAATTCCCCGCTCAGAGGGGGTACAACCGCCATTACAAAAAATAAAGACCATAACAATATGTCACCACTTTTTGGTGGTGACATAAAAACGAAGTAAACAAATATATTTAATTTACATTTTTCAACAATATTATTCAATCATAAACACCTACCTAGTTTAGCACCACATGAATAATGGTAAAGTGAGGATTTCCACTGAGCAGAACTTGAATTTACTTACACAAATACTCATATAGATTTTAAATCAACTTTTAACAATTGAAAATCCTAGTCAGGTTCTTAAATGAAAATAGCCAGAAGAATTGCCATTGGTAAGGCCTAGTAGCGTTAAGTTGTAAGATATAAGTGTATAAACTCAATAAATCCACAAAGCCTTTTATGATAATCATGAATAGGTTAACAGATGAAAACCAGGACCAACAAGCTCCTGTAATTCTATACATGTTTTCTGAGACTAGGGTCAGTATCCAAAGTTCTATTGTTCTCTTAATAAGATGTTATTCTATAACTATAAAAACCTATTATCTAACACAAGCATTCTTAATCCGAGATGATTTAGTTTTGAACTACTTTTCAACAATTGATTGATAATGGTAACATGATGTAGGACCAAAAGGTTTTGGCCTGGATGTAGCTTTTGACATGCCATATTGAATTAGCATTATTGTACTTACATTTTTTATTTGATCAAATCATGTCAATACTGTTCAATCAAGAAGGGTTGGAACAATGGGATATTTTATATCTTGAACATAAAAACCTCAAAGACCCTTTCAAATCTGAAGTTTGTTCCTCAGGACAACTTACCGAAATAAAACAGAACTTTTCAAAGAGTTCAGGTATAAAGGTTATCAAGTTGAAAATATCCTTAGTGCATGACTTATTTTGCAAAAATATGTTTATGAAACAATAATAAGTCTAGCCTAATATAGGTTTAATTGATGTATATTATCACTTTTGAGTTTTTTAAAGAGGCTAACAAAGTAGACCCAATCAAGACCCCCTGGACTTTTTGCATAATGAATTTTACGACATATTCACCTATCTACTTACTTTCAAAGAAGTCCCCAAATCTCCCACTTTCAGTGCTAATTTTTTGATTTTACTGACTGGTGGTCTCAAGGTATACCTAAGGTATCCAAGATAGTAATGAGCAATAAAATTAAATAAATTATGAGACATCATGGGGCTATGGTATAATGCATCTTTAACATATGAATCAATGCTCTCCATATTAGAACTTTAAATCAGAAATAATTTACCCATCATGCCATCCACCAATCAGACTATTTCTTTACTGAATTTTTCATTTATTACAACACTTCATAATCAAATGATTAAGTTGCTTATATATATCACTTTCTCTCAAAAATGCATATTTTTGTATCTTATCTAGTATCTTTCTTTAATCATGCACAAGATGTACCTTGATATACAGGGTGGTCCAAAAAGGTGGAACATTGGTTAATCATATACAAAAAATTTCTCATCTAAATAAATTCAACAATGTTCTACTTTTTTGGACCAACCTGTAGATGTAATACATTGCTTATGGTATACTCGAGCAACTAATTAATGAACTTAATTGCATAAAACATCAGAAGAATTCTCACATTCTCTGTTCTACATGTATTTGAACATAAAATATAAATAAGACAAGAATTAAAACTTAATCTCCATTCGACCCTTGTCACAATGTTTACACAGAGATAAACAACCTTCAAATTGTGGATGATTTTACCACTTGTGGTCACGTTTAGTTTACATGTTTGCCAAATGTGCATTCAACTTGAATCTCTTTCTATTGGTGGAATCAGAGGTTAAGATAAAATAACTACAAAAAGGTTGTAACTACTTTTGATTTGGATAGCTTTTTACAAGTAGATAGTGTATAAACAGGCCAAGTGTAAATATGAATTGTATGTTCCTATATAAACTTACAAATATATTTAAGAGGATATTGACTTGTACACTTGTCTCTTATTTCTGTTATGTAGAAAAAATACCAAAATCAGTTGGATAAATTAGTTGCCAGATCACAAGCAAGATGACTGGAAAGCAGTTAGAGATCTTAAATGGACTCGATTTACTTTATGTGATTGAACAGGAGTAACAAATATTGTATTTGTATTTAGGTCATTATATGTAGACGCACATGTAGACGTGACAATTGTGTGGGAGCTGTTGACACAAGCAATCATTAAAAGAACCTCAACCTTCGATATTACATTTCACAAAGTAAACAAACACAATGGCAACCAATATACTAACAAGCACAATCTTCATCAATTAATATAACATAATTTCTATCAGCACAATCAACACCAATACAATCTTCATCAGTACAATCAACACAATCTTCATCAGCACAATCAACACCCAATACAATCTCCATCAGCACAATCAACACCCAATACAATCTCCATCAGTACAATCAACGTAATCTTCATCCGCACAATCTTCATCAGCACAATCAACACCCAATACAATCTCCATCAGTACAATCAACACCAATACAATCTTCATCAGTACAATCAATGTAATCTTCATCAGCACAATCAACACCAATATAATCTTCATCAGTACAATCAATGTAATCTCCATCGGCACAATCAACACAATCTTCATCAGCACAATCAACACCAATACAATCTTTATCAGCACAATCAACACAATCTCATTCAATGGTCCTTGTAATAAAATATAACATAAAAATAATTCCTTTAGAATTAGACCATCTACCGACAATATTCTAAGACATGATGTAATGATGCCATATTTGAGTTTGATTCTGCCTAATGCTATTATATGAAGTCACGCTTCTTTCTTTTCTGAAAATCACTATTGCAGAATGATGAGATGATGTATTCAGCATATATAAGATCAGATGAGAAATGGATGAATGATGGATGAGGTAACTGGCTGGCTTTCTGGATATGACTCTCATGTAGGAAACCTTATTATAAGAAGTCTTTTCTCTTAACTAACTGTGGCATATGTACTTCAATAGGCTTGCATTATATGTAAATGCCCCCCCCCCCCTATTTCCCCACCCCTTCTAACATACACAACTTCATATGGTAAAGAAATAGCTAAGGGGTTAACAAGTGATTTGACATAACACTGAAACTTCAAAAATGCTGTATTTTGACGAATCACAATTAAAAAGTGTGAAAATGTAATCCTTAAACCAAGAACATCTATTTGACATCTTGGATTTCCAGGGTATGAAGTTTTCATAGTTTAATTGAAAATAAAACTGGGAAATAAGTGTGTTTTCTATTAAATTCAAACAGCATTTCCAATGCAATCAGGTTAATGCTGCAATGTTAATCTCCACTAATCTGTTGTATTATTAAAAGGAAGATCTCTGTGGCGATGAGATCCGCTTACTGCAGCAGATATATCATAGGAAATGTTGGTAATTTGTAGTAGATGAAGGAAGAGCATACCTTCCGTTAGACCATAATGCTATAGAGAAACTCAACAATCTGAGATGCTGGATCAAACATATAGATGAAAATTCTATTTTCTGATGTTGATAAAAATCGGGATTCCATTTTTGGTAAAAATATATCTGCTTTTGTCAGCTTCATTTTTCCCATGACCTTCCCCCTTTTTGATATGCCCAAGGCCTTCTATTTAATAAGCATGCCATATCAAGGTCATTTTATCTGGATCAACCCATAAAAGGCAAGATGATTTATTTATAAACAAACAAAGGTCAGACAAAGTTCACAAAACTACCAATAAAATCAATATTTTCAAATTGTTTGATATTTAAAATTAAACAAAGTTGTGAAACACACTGGGTTTGATCAGGATGCAAGAGCAAGCAGATTTTCGACAGGGTGGCATATAATTTTCAACAGGATCGCATATAATTTTCAACAGAATGGCAAATAATTTTCGAAAGGGTGGCAAATAATTTTCGACAGGGTGGCACATCATTTTCAACAGAGTGGCATATCATTTTCAACAGGACGGCATATAATTTCCAACAGGGTGGCATATAATTTCCAACAGGGTGGCATATCATTTTCAACAGGGTGGCATATTATTTTCAACAGGGTGGCATATCATTTTCAACAGGGTGGCATATAATTCTCAACAGAGTGGCATATCATTTTCAACAGAGAGGCATATCATTTTCAACAGAGTGGCATATAATTCTCAACAGAGTGGCATATCATTCTCAACAGGGTGGCATATCATTTTAAACAGAGTGGCATATCATTTTCAACAGAGTGGCATATAATTCTCAACAGAATGGCATATCATT